TCATTTTATCATTCGAATCCTCATGCATTCTCGCTTTGCTTTCTTTCATTAAATCTCAACATGAAAAGGCATTAAAAAATTTTTCATTTCTAACATATCATTGGCTGAAGTTCAACTTAAACATCCTAGCTACCAAATCGTTGCATGCACACAGTGAGTCTAAACGGCTAAATAAATGCTAACCTTCATTGATCTGAAAATACTATATTTTTAGGTCGTTGAAAACTATAGCAAATGTAATAGAATCCGAGTTTTGAAAATCGTACAGATTATTTTATTTCTGTTCATCGTTTTGTGGGCATCAAATACAAGAAGTGTTGCTTTGTTTACTGACATCAGCGTCATCAATGGTTTGCAGGAAAAAAATCATGTTTATTTATAAATGTTGATTAAGCACTATTAAATTGAGAGTGTTATGAATAATCACGTTAGTTTAATACTTGAGTTTTTGTTCTGACACCTAACTTATAAACGAATTTCAGACACATTGACCATCCTCCTAAATGACCTATTTCTTCTATGCACCAATTAAAAAAAATGAGTGAAAGAGAAGTTGCTAGAACTGTTTTCTATTGACGAAAATGAAAAAAAAGTTAACAAAAATAAGCAAAACAGTTGGGATGATGAAATAAACTGTTGATTATGATGTTGAGAGTCACAGAAAGTCATGATGCCATTTTTTGCAGAACACTTACATGATTTTTCTTAAATGCACAACCATTAATCGTATTGACTCTTTTTCTTTAAGAGAATCAAGTTAAAAACATGCAATTATTAATCACACAATCCCCTCTATTAGTCCCAAGTGACTTATAAATCCATACATCAAAATTAAGAAAATCTGTTGTACTGCCAGGGGAAAAGTCAAAAGAGTGACAAAGTTTATTGAACATCTGAAGAAATGCAACGTAGATCCGGGACAACCTTGTGTTTATATACCAGTTAACATTTCTTCTGGATATTGAATTTTGTGACCTTGACATGACAGACTGTTTCTATTTTAACAATGTTTTGTTAAAGTTTTAATCTATTCACTATAATACATCATACCTATACGAAAAAGTTTGACAAAAACCAACTTTCTCATTTTAAAAGGCAAAAATGCAAATTTGCCATTTTTGACGCTTTTTTTAGCTTTTGCGTTGGAATTTGCATAAACGCAGAGACTTTACTAAGAGACTAGTTTGCAATCAACAATATTTGTTAGTAATAATGTAGGTTACTCATGCTTGAAAGAACAATTCTAGCGTTTAAAAATTGCTTAAATTTTAAAATGCTTTCGCACCGTCAAGCCAAGTTTTTTGGACTTCACTTGCAATAAAAACTTTGTTTTGTATGAACTCAAAGATGCCCACACGAGTTTCTTTAAGATTAAGATTGTACATTGTGGCGATCAACAAGATGACGTCACTCTAAGTCTATATTGATAAGACATGTACAAAACAGATTGAAGACATTTTGTACGCTGCTCATCATTAAAACAAATCAGACAATAGGCGGAAGCCGGCATAATTGCGCTGTCTATTTTAGCATGTTTAAAATCACCCTTTCTGCAAAATTTTAATGATGCTGTGAACTCAAACAGTAAATCCGAACAAAATAATAAAAAAATTAAAGCACTAACATGCATGACGAAAACAATTGACTGTTTTAACTCAGTCAATGTTTTGACAATACTGCTAATTAATGTGGATCACCAGGATTATATAACATTAACAATATAAAACATTGCACCTGAATTTTTGTCTTCAGTCTTCACATGTTTATTAAAGTAATCCTCAACTTCATTACCAAAGAATAATTTTACAAAATCCACGACATAAAAATGATGTGATCCACAGCAACCAAGATGTCATTCAAGAAATCATGACGTAATCCACAGCAACCAAGATGTCATTCAAGAAATCATGACGTAATCCACAAATAACAATGCAATACAGGAGTCAAATGTACCATTCGTGTTCGTTCTTTTCTAAGATACAAAGCATATTTTAAATCAAATATCATGCAAGAGTGTCTTTGGAATGGATTACTTTTGCAAACAGAATAAAAAATTAAATTTTTCAGGGTGGCAAACATATACAATGAAAAAGTATTCGAGCACAAAGAAACTTTTCATGTGTAGAAATTAGAACGTTAGAAAATGGTAGCTAATGGTTTCGAGAATTTGTTTCATACCTGGCTGATCCAAATTCACCATAATTATGCCCACTTTTAATGAAACATGTAAGGTATCAAAAAATGATCATCACAACAGATATTTTCAAGAGAAAATGAATATCTATAGGGTCTCGTTATAACCAGCCAGTTGGTCCTTAATCATTAATCAAAGGTATACATATAACATAATGCTAATCATCTGAAATTAACATTGCAGGACCAAACTTGCTCAGGAGCTACGTCACTAAAAATACTACTTACCAAAATACTTAATGTTCTCACATCTCTTCATAAATATTTATAAGCAGTTGCCCAAATAATGCCTGAATGGCCATTATTATTCGAATATGTCCTTCAAGGCGATCACATAAATGTTCTAAAAAATTGAAGTTACCAAGAAATTCGTTCCTATCTATACGTTCTATACAGTGTTGTATCGATAATGACAGATTTTCTAAATCTTCGTCGACAGCTCTTCAGGCGTTTGACATTTCTAATAAAACGACAGTAATGAAATGAAAGAGCTTCACTATCTTTCTCTTAGTTTATAATCAGACTTAGTTTTTGATTTTCAATTGCCAAAAAATTCTCGACTGCCAAAAATATTCTCGACTCCAAAAAAATTCTTGACTGTAAAAAAGATATCTAGCAGGATTATAAAACATGTATTCTCAACAGTAAAAAATAATCTCGGTGGAAAAAAATTCTCGACTACTATTGTCCACTATGGCTTTCCATAGCGCGCGTCACAGTCAAAAGGATATCACATGAGATTCCGTTCAAGCACCCAGCATTCAGTGCGCGCGTAACCCAGCCTATGAGACGATTTTGAGATGCTTGAAAATTGGAAATATTAGTTGAAAAAAATGATTTCAATAAATGGCCAAAAGCTTGACGGTTTTATTAACAAGGTCAAGGGAGTCGACCACTTGTTTGAAAAATCTTGCTAAAAATTTGACGGCGCGTGGTGTTTTGTCAGCGAAAATAAGCAGCAGGGGTTTACGTATCAATTTTTGCTGGGAGGTTGTAGTCCGAAATGAGATCAACTCATTTCCTTTAAAAATTTTAACCGTACCAAAATGAAACATAGTCTTGCTTGAGTCATGAGCCTCAAACGATGTCAAAGCTAACTCTCGTTCAATTCAAATTTCTTTCATAGTTGAGACTTTGAGAGTGGTGGTTATTTGGCAACTTTAGTCTGACACTGACACTATGGACAACTATGAACTCTTCACTTTGGATCTATGTAAATTTTTTGTATGATATAAGCTTATCAACTCTATCAATGTTAAGACCGCTGGGGTGGAGGGTGTGACACCCCTATATATATATACGCTTCTGATGATCGGCACGCATTTGGACGATTAGACACGCGATTGCGGAAAGAAGAGTCGTTTTGGGTGAATGTCACACTCCTTATGCTCGAAATGTTTCTCATGAGAAATTGTACACTGCTTTTAGTCAAAACTATGCAATCCAGCATTGAGGGGCAGCTCTAAGTTGTCTATACATATACAAGCCTCCAAGAATGTTTTGTAAATCTTGGGAAAATCATTGTATGAATGTAGAAAGCTCACCCACCAAAACCTGATTTCGTCCAGAGGCTCTTCCGGTCACAAGCCAAACTAGGAAGAAAAATAGCCGCGTCCGAAACGCTCCAAAGAACTGGAGCTATCAGAAGATGATATAACTAAAGATGTAAATGAATCCATCAGTACGTCAGGAAAACAAACAAGAGACCCACCCGCCAATTCGTCACTTTCAAAAGCTTTGGTCTTGGTGGCTGATGAGCAAAGGCCGCGGAGCCGGGGGGGGGATTGGGGGCAAGTGACACTCCACTTTTGCAACTGGGAAAATGTGCCCTTTTCTGGAATGAAAGTGCCCGTTTTCATGGTATAGAAATGCCCTTGTTTTAGGAAAAATTGGACTGAAGACGTTTTTCTTAGATACAAGTAGCCCTGAGAGTAGAACAAAGTCTGTCGGCATCATGCGAAATCAGCTATAGCTTAGTTTTTGATCTTGATTACCCAGATGGATCAAAAATCGCGTTTGTCGATTGGGGTTGTCTTCGCAGACGTCCGCCCAGTAACTTATTTAACCAATGAGAAGTCGCAATTTATGATCCACATGAGACTATAAATTCTACGGCAACGCATTGCTCCCGTCGTATTGTCTTTCAGGCCATTGGTCCTACAAAACTGTTGACAATTCATAATCATAAAAATTGAAAATTTTGCGGTTTAAATCACTTCTAATCAATATCATCATGCCTAGAGCTGCTAGGCGAAAACGAGAATAGGAAAAAGAGCTTGTGGAAACAGCTAAAAGGATGCGAAAACGGACGAGTTTTTTTAGTAGTGCTCCAGCAGAGAACGTTGTTGACCAAAACATCGACTCTAGGTCTAATTTGACACTGCCGTCAGCTACAGAAACTCCATCAACGTGTTTATCTCCTCATTCTCATTCCAAACTAAAATTCGGTGATTCTGACTCTACATCGTCTTCAGAGATACTAGTCGCGAAGCCAGTTCACACACCTTCTCAAAGCCTAACGTATGCGACTTTACCAAGTTCCACGACTACCACCATATTGATAGGACCTATGCCAATTTGAGTCAACGGAATGTTTGCTAGGACTGGATTATAAGCGTTTGTGCTGTACAGGCCGACAGCCTTACCATCCTACCCTAGAAGAAATAAAGCACACGTCTAGAAAGCAATCCAGTACAGGAGGATCATCGAATGTACGAACGTGTCCGTCTTCTATATTTTTGAAATATATATGGGTCACATACTGCATGAGAAAAGGCACTATTGCCTGTTACTTCTGTAAAAGAGCGATGCGTCAAGGCCTTATTACTTTCAGTAATAATGGTGAAAAGGCTTTTCTCCTAGGAGAATTCAGCGACTGGAAGAAGTGCCGAGAAAAACTTAAAAAACACTCCCAGTCTAAATTTCACGCAGGGGCGACCGAGAAAGTTTTATTATCTGATGATTCGAGAAGAGATATTGGAGCGATATTGGTCAGTGAATTGAAGAAAACCCAGGAAACTCGAAGAAGAATGTTGCTAAAACAACTAAGTAGTATAAGGTATTTGGCACGCCAAGCCCTAAGTTTGTAAGGTAAAACTGAACTTGAGAGTAACTTGCAAAAGTTGCTAAAATTAAGAGCAGAGGATGTACCTGATTTGTTGGAGTGGATTTACAACGGAAGATATCTCAGTCACGACATCATAAACGAGTTGATTAATATGATGGGCAATGCAGTCCTGAGATCTATAGTGGCAGACATCCGTAAGGAATCACAATTATTTAGCCTAATTGCAGACGAGTCTAGCGACATAAGCAACAAGGAACAACTAACATGTGTTTTGCGCTGGATATCTAGAACCGACTTGTCCGTCCACGAAGATTTCCTCGGAAAGTACGAGCTAGAGAAAACCGATGCTGAAACAATCACAACTTCGCTCAAGGACATTTTGTTGCGATGCAGTTTGACGATAGACGACTGTCGATGGCAAACATATGATGGAGCAGCAAATATGGCTGGAGGCAGAAGTGGGGTTGCTGCCCGAATATCTTCTGAGAATCCTCACGCCCTGTACATTCATTGCGGTAACCACAGTCTTGACTTGGCTTTGCGTGATTGTGTAAAGGAGAGCTGGATTATCAGCGATACGTTGAAAGAGGTGCAAGAGTTGGCCGTGCTTATTCGAACATCACCAACACGAATGGCGCAATACCAGCATAATGCCAAAGAGATTGAAGAAAGTGGCACGCAAGTTGAGAATCCGCATTTGCTGTGTCCAACTCGATGGACAGTAAGAACCAAAGCCATCTCGGCTGTCTTGCACAATTACGAGGCCCTCTACTCTGCATTACTTAGCATTGCCAAAGAATCTTGCAAGTCCACCGTTCGTGACACTGCATCAGGTATGGCTAGTCGATTGAAGAAGTTTTCCTCGTACTTTGGTTTAAGTTTTGCGCAGAATATCTTCAGCGTGTGTGAACAAGTAGCAACTACCTTACAGAAGCCTTCAATAACGGCACAAGCAACTGTTACTTGCATAAATGCCTTGAAGACAAACTTGCAGCGTCAACGAGACAACTTCTCTTTGTTTTACGACCAAGTAGTTGATTCAAGCAAGGCTATCAACTTTGTAGGTGATCCAACACAACCAAGACCGAAGAAAGTTCCGTGGCGGCTTCAACACGGAGATGGAAAGCAACATTATTTCCAAACTGCGAAAGACGCCCACCGTGCCCAGTATGTTGAGACAATTGATGCGTGCTTGGCTTCCCTACAGGAGCGCTTCCATCAAAAAACATATTCTGTATTGATGAACATCGAAACCGTGCTCATTAATGCAGCAAACGGGCGTAAGCTTGAGTTGAATGATGAAGTTGAACACCTTTTACGAAAATGACCTCGACTTTGACCAGCTGAAGGCGGAGTTAAAGCTTCTTGAAGGAATTATCTCGCAACGACTTCCAGAAGTAAAGAAGGTGACATCAATTGACACCATAACATCAATATTCTCAACCAAAGAAAATAACTCATCGCAGATTGTCATGGCAATGTCTAATGTTGTCTAATGCTTAATGGCTAAGGACTTTGTTCTGAAAAACGAATGTAGGGTTAGATTTTTTGGGAATGTAGGGATTTTAATGAGATCGCATTACTTAATAAAATTGTTCATGTAGTCATCTTAGCTCAATTTGTTAGCACGCACGCCGAGCAGTAGAGAATACGCATAGCATTCTAAGAATGTCTACCAATATTTTGCAGACTTTGAAACTTAATCATGATTCATGAAACAATGCATATCTGTAATATATTAAAACAGTAAGCTACAAACTCACATGCCCTTTTCGGTCAGTGCCCCCGCCCACTTCTGAGATACTTCCGCGGCCCCTGTGTATGTGTTTATAGATGTGGATTGCCCAGGTTAGTGAGTTATGAGAGACTGTTGGTGTTAATGTTGACTGTCAATGAATTGGAATTTTACGCCCTATAGAGTTAAATGATTTGTAAACAATTACTCAATTCAACATTGGGGCTGTCAAGTAATTTGATAAAAAGATTAAAATCTATTCATTTAAATATTAGTAAAGATCGGTTAAGTCGGTCGGTGTACGTGTGTCTGTTCACAAGCACTGCAACAGATAATTCTACATCCTGCGATATTTTTTTCATTGAAATTGTTGGCATTTGATGGAACTACTTTTTCATGTTGTATTTATAATTGTGCTATTCTACCTTTCGCTTTCGGGTCTGGTCACAGCTGGCTGAGTCAAGAAAGATCTAAAATCTGATTGAGATTAATTGCTAGCTGCTTTCAATAACCTGCATGGTCTTTCTAACACAGCTTTTCCAGTTCTGATTGCATAGCAAAATTATGAAAACAGGGAATGTAATCTGACATGAGTTGAGCCCGATAGCAAATAATTGCTTTTGCTGGTTGAGTTTATATCCTTGAGCATCGATTGGATGATGGTAACAATACAAATATAAATTACGAATTACGATAATGCAAACGTTGGTCATAATAATATTGTGGTTATTATTCATTACGATAAAACAGATATTGATGATTATAATTACATAATACAAAATACATAAAATAAAGTAAATGGTTTGAACCCGGGAGTATCGTTACATGTTTGTAAAACCATTTACTTTATTATGATCATTTGGACGACAGAGCGAACAACTTGCTAACGACTACATATGTTTTCCAAGCAACGTCAAACGCATACGCCAACAACTCTGGTTCAACCACCGCTGCAAGGATTTTGGTCTCGTTCCGGCAGGAATTCCAATTAAGTCCCCGTTGAACACACAAGAGGCTATTCAGATTGTCAAAACAATACAATGACGCAAGAACCAGATAACAAATACGGCTAACCTGACGTTAACTCCTCATTTGACTTTGAAGATGACTACCGCTAAGGTTGTCGAAACGTCAGTCAACATCAACAAAAACAGTCCTTCTCAGGACTATACCAACCTGGATGATCGACATTTACAAACATTTAAAATACATATAAATAATATAATACATATAATAAGCCCTTAGTGACCGAGCGCGAGGTCTTTATGGTGAAATAACGGACCGAAGTGTTTTTGTACAGGCCGATTTGTACAAAAATTGAGGTTCGATATTTCAGTAAAACCGAGAAAGCGAGGTTATTAAAAGGACTATGATATGGCAGTATTTGACCAGAAACGAAGCTTGCTTTCTTTCTCGTCCTTGCTGGTTTTTACCGGTTGGCTTTCACTTTTCTAGTTTTCGTCCATAAAAAATACGTCGTTTCAAATTGTATCGTCTGGATAGTTAAACTGTTTCAAAGTATTTTTCCTTCGAGTCACATTCGTAAATGTTTTTTGTTTCGTTTATTTTGCGTTTTGTTTTACAAAGTTTGTTTACAGTTGACTGTAAAATTACGCGTTTTGGACAGGCAAAAATGCTTCTGAGCCAATCAAAGCGCGTCATTTTTCCGGAAGTGATGCTTGCCATATAATAATTATATATAATAGCCTGAAATAAATTAATGCAGCTCAGTTTTATATTCGAACTACCTTCCACAAAATGCCATTGGTTCATGAATTCCCTATGGTTTTAATATGTAAATAAATCGAAGAAAGAACTGTTGTATCTTTATTTCTGATTAACGCTGGATACCCTGATAATATATTGGTAGATGTTAATGTATAAAATACTAATGTTTATCACGTAGATATTAATGATAATTATGCAAATATTTATATTTACGAAGAATAAGCCGCTAATAACAGGAGCTTCGGAAGCTTTGAAAACCTGTAGGTGTTCTACGTTCGTGATGTGACAACGCAAGAAACCACAATAGTGACGAAATTGTTTCACAACAGTTATTATCGATCGGTTTTTCTTCTTTTTCCACGAAACATTACAAAAGTCCTCCAAAACCTCTTTATTGTGTTTCATTACATAAAAAAAGACTTGAATATTTTGTCAATGTTTAAACAATTTGAAATTTTTGGTTCTTACTGCTCATTCATCAATCTGAAAATTTGTTATACTTATAAAAACATGCATTTTGTCATAAACATTGAAGCAAGACGCTAAACTTATGGGTGTCTTTCATACTATAAGTTGTGGATGGACGGACACCCAAACACCCAAGGCTTCCCAAGCTAATGGTTAATAGTAGAAAGAAAGTTAGTTACTACATTGATCATTACAAATTGTTAAATTCAAATGAGAGATAAATTTTATGTTAGCAATGTAACCTTAATATATAGTGCACTAAAGACCCACTTGATCTTGTAAGATCTTCTGAAGATCATATGAATTGTACTTAGCTAAAAGGAATAATACATTAAATGTTACATGTGTACATGCATGCAATCCCACCCAGTCAACGTACTATTTCTTTGAGATTTTCTTCCACTCTCTTAAGCATTTACGAGAAAAGCAGTCTTTCCATTGCTCAGATTTGGTTATCCATGGGCTGCCACATTTAAGAACTTTTAAGATAACCATTTGGATCCTACGGGCATCACGGAGGTAATCAACCTTCAAATTTTCTTTGTGATCAAAACAAAAAACTTTCTTTTTCTTTTTGAAGATGTTGACACTTTCAAACCTATCATTGCTGTCAGAATACAGCAAAACTGCAGAAGAAATATGCGATTGTTCAAATTTGAGCATCAGGCATTCGAAGGCTTTCGTCCCGGGTTTTATTTCTCGAACTTCCCAGAAGACCTCTATGATATTTTCCTCAGCTAGGCTACGCCATATTTCGACGCATGGCCTTTGACCAAGCTTAAACATTGCCTGGTAAGGACATAATTCCACGCTGGCATGATGAAGGAAGTATAAAAAAGTGATGCCACAGTGGCAACACCTTTTTATAAATAAGCCAGGATCAATCTAATAAAGAACAGGAACACATGCTCAAGGAAAGCCTGAAAATCATGCAGCTCAATATGATAGAATAATAATAATAATAACAATAACAACTTATGTATGTACAGGTTTGTTAGGTCAGAAAAGAAATATTCTGACATCAGTCGAAGACCTGTACCTAACTAACAATAAATATAGATACATAAAAGTTACGAAAAATTTAAGTTGAAAAGTTAAAAGATTAAAACGTTAAAAAATACTTGCGACAAGTTGCGTCAGTGATCATTTTATAATTTCTGGAAGACATTTGATAGATATAAATGATGGAAGACAGCGCCTACTTTTGTTCACTTGATTGTAACCTTGGTTATAGTGATTGGCAGATTGCGTTTTATCTACAAACCATTGACTTTGTTTCATCCATTTGTAAACAGAAAGTTTCAATATAGCGAAAAGAACGATTTCATAATTTTTGTCACCCAAATAGCAACAACCGCTGACTGTTAAGGACAGTCGGAAATTTTTACTACTAGCGATTTTCCTGCAGTAAATTATGCTCGACAATATAGTTCTATTCAGGTGATTAATCATGTATCAATTTTCATTTAATGGATGAAATGAATTTTCATTTTGCGTGCTCTCTTGTTTGAATTTTAGGATCAAATACCATTCTTTTAATTCGGTTTAATCCGGTTTGGCCAGAGTCAAACAGCTCTAATTCCGGATTGAGTGAAGCATGAAATAAGTTCGACGTGTTGAATAGTCGAAATTTCAAGCGTAAAAATCACAATTTTTTAAACTGGGGCAAATTCGCTTTTCTCATTTTGAATGTTTAGCATATTTACATTTTCCAAATGTGGTGAAATTGTGGATCGTTTCAATAAGTAAAAATCATGTAACGCTTCCCCGAACAAATTAAAAATTTTGATAATCAGTAATGAGCCAACAGTGATGCTCAACAATGAACTAAAGTTCTGTTTTGTTAACTATGCACTACAGCATTTTAACTTGTTAAACAAAAAAGCTAAGCTAAAACAAGAAAAATTGGTGAAAAGCGTAAACATTCATACAGTTGATAACTTTACAACATTACGTTTCATACCATGGTTGATGTTCCTCCATTAGATTTCCGAATGGGTTGTATCAAATTGTTTTGTTTTCCTGTAATGACGAATAATGACCATCTTTGAGTAATGTCAGTTAGTAAGGACTACATAGTAAATTTGTGATGGATACTAAGCAAAGTTTAGAGCTTGGTTACCATACCGGTAGATGAGAGGCTGTTTTCCCAGTCTCTTCAACTATTGGCTTGTTAGGGTCTGGTTGTTTCTGGCATAAACATCAATTTAACTGCATATTTCAGGTCTTTTTTCAAAATTTAAATAGAAATACTCCAAAATTTACATACCAAAGAAATGTTTCCCACATTGTCAGGCATCTCTGACGGTGACTACAAAAATCAATGCAATTTTATCAGTTTTGTCAAAAGGTCATCTTTTCACACATCAAAAACAAATTCCAGAATTCATAAAGCTAGTGTATACCCTTGCTGTTTCTTCATGACATTGGATTGACCCTTACAAGTGAGAGGCTGTTTCCCCAGTTTCTTTAACCATTGGCTTGGTGCCAGCTGTCTGTTTCTGGAAAAACATCAATTTGATTGCATATGTCAGGTCCTTTTTTTTCGAAACTTTTATAGAAATACTCCAAAATTTACATACCAAACTATTGTTTTCAATAGATAAAAAGGGTCCAACATTATCAGCCATCTTTGATGTCTACAAAAAATTAATGCGATATCAGTTTTGTCAAAACTCCATAGTTTACAAAATCATTGTATACCCTTGCTGTTTCTTCAGAACATTGAATTGATATTTGTAAGTGAGAGGCTGTTTTCTCAGTTTCTTTGCCTATTGGCTTGGTTGGATTTGTTTTTTTCTGGCAAGAACATCAAATCAACTGTATATGTCAGGTTTTTTTGTCAAAAGTTAGGTAGAAATACCCCAAAACTTACATACCAAGGAGCTGTTTCCCACAGATGACGAGGTTTTATAATTTTCAAGCGTCTCTGACGACAACTACAAAAAATCAATGCCATTTCTGTTTTGACAAGGTTAGTCGAGTCATGAGAAGTACTGTTGGTGTTAATGTTGACTGACGTTTCGACAACATTATTGATAATAATTAACTATGAAAATAACAACAGCTAAGGTTGCCAAAACCTCAGTTAACACCAACACCAAAAGTCGTTCTCAGAGCTTTAATAACCAGGGATATCTACATTTACTAACATGTAATTACATATTATTTAAGCAGTATAAACGTACAGTATATTTTCTTTTTCTATTTCAAAGAGTTCGAAAACTATGTGAGAGCTTTTTTGCAAGTTCCAAAAGTGAACAGCAAACCAAATCAACATAAAACTGAGGCTTTCGGAAGCAATCTCACAAATTCACAATTAAATTAATGCAAATACCAGAATGACATTAAATGACATGAATATCAGTACAAGTCCATCAATTAAAGCATATGCTAAATCTAACACGAAGTATTATGAAACTAAAAAATCTTGACAGACAGCTTTATGTCTTTTGCACTATAAATCACAGCACATGAAATACGGTAGAATATGCCTCGTGGAAATATGTTTAAAGAAATACAACGCTTACCCATGCTAAGCTCCTCTTAACAAAGAACTGCGAATCGTGATTGTTTCTTGAATAATTCAAAAGGCAGTTGTTTAAATTGCACTCTGAGCTAAATTCGTCCATAGCAGACTCCTTAATGGCGAAAACTTGAACATGATTAGAGTTAGATAGACCATCTATGGGCACCGTTTGAAGATCGGTCTCCTGATAAACACTAAACATTTCTTCATTTAAGGCATCGAAAAAAACTAAATGATCCTCCTCAAGAAAAACATTGAAACAATGGTTCCCTTCCTCAGCTTCGAAAAACAGCACTCCCCATTCACGCCCTGTCTCTTTAAATGCCTTGATGGCCGCACCCAAATTGCTCTCATCAGCTATGAAATCCAATTTAGAATTGGATTTAACTTTAGAATTGAATTTCTGCCAGATGGCGGGGCAACTCGACTTTCCAATCTTTTGCGTCACACGTAGAAAACAAACATCGTGCTTAGCATACTTAGAGAACGCAATGCTTAATGCCACAAAACTGCACCCACAGTGAGGACATACATAATAGTACCATTCTTTTTTATCAGTGCTGAGCTATTAACATTAAAGACACCAGTTTTAGAAGTAAGAGCAATCACAGTCAAACAGAAGCAAAAAAATCACCAATAATCATATTATATTGTCTACATTTCATATGGAAAAAATATCAAAATCAAAAACAACTACAAAACCTTAACTGTCTCCACTGATGTTGACTCCTCGTTTGTTACATCATCTAGTGCAGGCGGAACATGTACGTTTTTCATAAAGTTCTAGAATGAGAAAACAAGACATTTTGAATCAAGTCATGGTTTGATGGAGATTTTGTCTCTGGTTATACATCAATGTTGTTGTCAGAAAAACGGAATCGTAAGCAACTAAGATTTATAATAATCACTGACAAAAAAAAAACAGATCATCTTTTCAATTAACCAATCTTTAAGGGCATTTCTCTTCATAAAACTCAATATTAATGTTTAGCATTTAGAAGTTTTGATAATCAGTATTGAGCCAACATTGATACTACCATAACACTAAACAATAAACTACAGTTTTGTTTTGTTGATAAAGCACCACAGCATGTTAACTTGTCAAACCAAAAAGCTACATATACAAGCAAAAACAGGAAAACACTGGTGAAAAACGTAAACAATCATAGACCATTTTTGAGTCATGTCAGTTAGTAAGGACTACATTGTGAAGTTGTGATGGATACCAAGCAAAGTTTAGAGCTAGGTTACCATACCTGTAGATGAGAGGCTGTTTTCCCAGTCTCTTCAACTACTGGCTTGTTTGGATCTGGTTGTTTCTGGTAAAAACATAAACTTAACTGTATATTTTAGGTCTTTTTTTCAAAATTTAATTAGAAGTAGTCCAAAATTTACATACTAAAGTCGCGTTTCCAATAGATGACGATGATTTATTATTGTCATGCATCTCTGATGATGTCTACAAAAATCAATGCAATTTTATCAGTTTTGTCAAAAGGTCATCTTTTCACACATCAAAAAACAAATTCCAGAATTTATAAAGCTAGTGTATACCCTTGCTGTTTCTTCATAACATTGGATTGACCCTTGCAAGTGAGAGGCTGTTTCCCCAGTTTCTTTAACCATTGGCTTGGTACCAGCTGTCTGTTTCTAGAAAAACATCAATTTGATTGCATAAGTCAGGTACTTTTTTTCAAAACTTTTATAGAAATACTTCAAAATTTACATACCAAACTGTTGTTTTGAATATATAAGGAGGGTCTAACATTGTCAGCCATCTCTGATGTCTGCAAAAATTCAATGCGATATCAGTTTTCTCAAAAGGTCATCGTTTATCACAGCAATCAAAAAATTCCATAATTTACAAATAATTGTATACCCTTACTGTTTCTTCAGAACATTGAATTGATATTTGTAAGTGAGAGGCTGTTTCCTGAGTTTCTTTGCCTATTGGCTAGGTTGGATCTGTTTTTTTCTGGCAAGAACATGAAATTAACTGCATATGTAAGGTTTTTTGTCAAAAATTAGGTAGAAATACCCAAAAATTTACATACCAAGGAGCTGTTTCCCACAGATGACGAGGTTTTAACATTGTCTGGCATCTCTGACGATGACTACACAAAATCAATACAATATTAGTTTGATATCCTTGCAAAGGGTTAGAGAAAGATTGAATTGGCTTTTAGCTGAAAGAGAAAGCTTTATTTATTTCACTCCATTTCATTCCATTACATAAAACATTAACTCATATCGACATTTCTCACTTCTAACACTATATATCTTGCTTGTAAAGAAATTACTACATCATATGCTTCAACCATCATAAGCGTTTTCTATTTTACTTGAAGTTTATTTCACATGAAGTATTGTACTGGAAAATCTATATTTTGTTTTGCTTAAAGATGTAGATCGTTTTTTCTTCTATTGTTGCAAGATCTGTGTATTACATTCCGCGTTTGTCATGGACTTAAGACATGTTTTGTATTTTGATGGTGTGTCTTCAGTAATAATCAGCACGCTCACAACTGCTTATTGTCGTCGCTCATCATAAAGAATTTTTTTAAGGTTGGGTTTGCAAAGACCTGGCCGTTCATGTCGGATGCTACAGTGAATATAATGTGCATTCATCAACTGCATCCTAGGCATGCTAATGAGCTCTGGTATTGAGCAAAACGGCTTAAGTTCCACAGGCTTAAGCTATTTTTTTGAAAAACTTCTTTTCAGGGTGGGTGCATGCCTCCGAATGCCTTTTAGGCAGCGAATGCCTCCTGCCATTTTGATTAACAAGAAATAATTCTGGATCCTCCCCTGGTTTTTCTACGGCGTCTCTGTTGCTTCCATAAAACATAAGCTACTGCAATTACTACCAGACCGTATTTTTTTACTGACGTCATTTCACAAAATAATCGCCATCCGACATAATGTAAACATCACGTCTAATCAATTGATTTCTATAAGGCCTGGAGGGGAAAAGGGGCCTGGACCCCATGGTCAAAAACATGGCGGTAATGGTGGATTCAGTGAACTCGACATTTGAATAACTGGAATGATAACCAAAGCCAAAAATTGAAGCCAAAAATATTTGTCGTCATCATTTGTCATCACACGTCAGGCTCTAGTCTCTCGCGTGTTCATTTTAATTTGTTTAAAATCATTTGTCCTTTGGTAATGGTAGAGTTCGGATCTTGATCAGAGTGTAAAAATAACGAAATTTTTGGAATGAAAAGGTTCACGGAAAGTGAATCAAAGTGATAAATCGAGAACAAGATGAGGTGAACTTAGTCGATCTGCTCTTACGCTGCAGTTTTCCTTTAAAACATATCAAAGTCTTTAAGGATATTCAATTATTGATATCGAGATGACAAGCATTTACTATTTCAAGCAGTATCAAAATCGATGAAAATGACAATCGCTCTGTAAAAAGTAAAAATGGGAGTTATAGACTCAATATTTTTTATGAAACTGGATATTCAAATTTCTTTTTTTGTCGGAAAAACAGATCTTTAAATCCACTGAAATGACAAAAAAAGACAAACACTGTCGGAAACCGTTTGAAAATTTACCTTCTGACCAAATAAAAATTTGTGCTTGAATATTTTCTCGTCATATTTTCTATTGTATTGTCTTTTTAGCATACAGTGTAATTTTCAATTGGCTTTTCCTCGTTACAAGTTGTAAGTTACAACGAACTCACTGTAGTAAAGTTTCAGCTGTAAAAATAACCTTTTGCGAAGAGTTGGCCTCGTGTGTTGTTTGTCGTGATGTGATTTTGGTTGTCAAAACTTCCACTTTTAAAAATTTTTAACATTCGCTCCCTCCCGAATTCGGATCTCTATTCCTGCTTATATTAATGACAACCAGCGAAAACAACCACGCCACCGTAAGCATAAAATATTGAAAATAATGCTTCAGGTTTTGTGAAACAGACACACACATTTAAATGAGGAAAATCTACGGTAAAATAACGTATATTTTGTCATGCTTTAGCTATATTAGAAATAAATATCAAAGGGCATTCTTTACACTGCCATTGTGTTGTTAAGCCTTAATGCATAATCCCATGCGCAATACTTGTGTTTTTGACTGTTTGTGAACAGCTTTGTGCAACTCTCTTTCTTAAATAGATGGGTAAATCTTAGTTAAAATGTCCGAAAATGAGTTAGAAAAAGTTAGCTTACCCCTACGACTTAAGTCGACTGGAAATATATTATAAGTAGTTATGTAATTGTAATTTTTTTGAGTTTTTTTTTGGTAGGATTCATTTTGGGTGTCTTATAAGGTATTATGATATTCTGATCAATCTACTGAGAACTTATGAAAAAAATATCTTGAACTAGGAGAGCAAAAGAATGAAATTCAGAAATTCTTTAATCATGTTGCTGGTTCTGTTTTGAGCCAAGATATTAGAAACTGGATTGTCAACCATGGATCTACCACTGAACAGAACTACATTAATTTCCCATTGAAAATACGATTTCTTAAATTAAAGTGCATTGGTTTCTCTGACATAACACTTTTCTGATATGCTGACCCCAGCATTGGTTTCAACAATAAAATGTTGGAAAGGCCAAAAACGCTCGTCTTTTTAACATGCTTCGGAAATGATTTGAATCTTGCAAATTGGTAAGAAGGTAAAAAAATTATCCGTGCTCAATCGGCTGTAATATTTGTTTCATTATTGCTGTTAATTAATAGTTTTATTCGTGAGTTTTTAACGTATTTGTTTACTTTAGTTGCCTATCTTTTGTAATTATTAAACTGATAAGACACGTCACACTTACGTCGCGCGAGGTTGATCGATCAACGCGAGACAAATTGTTGAAGTCTTCAAGTTCCTCAGGAGTAAGAAAGGTTAATTATTTCATATTTGTTACGAAAAACCCGTAGTTATGGGCTGCCTATGGTGTGATGCTAATTATTTTGCTTATCTTTGGGGGGGGTATAAAACTAAATAGTAATGGACGGCACAGTGACACACTCTAAATATAAAATGTGAAATAGAGAAATAGCCTTTTTTTATTTTTTTAAACATTCATTGAATTATTTGACGTCGTCATGATATTTAAAACATCTATGTACGACAGTGTTTATGTATGTCGACGATAGTCACCGTCTGAACGACATAGTTGACATTAAAGAATCAAGTGCACGCTTGAATTGAATTGAAACCGATTAAAGCATCTGTTGATTAACAGCTGGGCAGCAGTCATGATTATGACAAAAAAAGTTTTTTTGGCAGAGATTTTGAAAATTCTTGTTTCTACCATCAAGCAAGGTGATAATTTTATACGATAAATCTCTGTTTCAGTGTTAAGTTATCAAATCGATGTGTGTGCAAGTGTGTTTGTCGTTTGCAAATCCATGTGTGTTTTGTGAAATACAAAATTTTCCACACCCCACAGCGTATATAATGCAAAAAGACAATGAATATAGTTTGGATGTGATACGACAATAAAAAAATATAAAGAGAATATTATATATATATATGTATGTATTGTTATTGCTACTGTTAAGTCATTGATTATTGATAACTAGCCCTCCCAGATGAAGAATTTTCAGTTTTTGGGGGTGCAGCACAACATTGTGGATAATCATCTTAAGTTGAGCTTCACAGCTTTTTGCATGGATACATAGGTACATGATTTATTTATTCCTCAATTTAGTCATATTTTTTATTCATGTTAATAGGTGATACTATTTAATGTACACTGTGGTTAGTTTCAAACAATGGGGGCTCTGGGATGAAGGTAGACAATTAGAATGAACTGGGATGGTAGAAACTTAAGCTGAACTAAATTGTTGGAAAAACCTTTTAAAGGAGTTGTAGATGTTAAAATAAGAAACCAAAAATGGTTCTTATCTTATGAGGATTCAAACATTGCAAGAAATTACATTTCAAAGTTTATATACTTCAGAATTCTTTTGCTGTCAAACAATTTATTGCTAAAATTTAAAAATCACTAGGGCCACAACATTACCATTGTAGAAATGTATTTTTAAAAAGGTTATTTTGATTTCTCAATTGCATTTTTCTCTCTCTCTCTCTCCAGGTGTTATGAAGATAAATTTCATATGAAGATACATTCGTATTAATCCCAGACCCTACAACACCAGGTAACTACATAAACTCATTGAGCAAAGAGAATGAGTGTATGTTTAAATCCTATTTTATTAAAATCAATGACAAAATTTTGCACTTTGTGTAACACATAAACTCATAGACAACGGTATTCAGGAAGTGACTAATCGAATGATGCTTCACATTGATAAAGTTAAGCAAAAATGCTTAAAATAAACAGCACAGAGGCCTAAGAAGGTTAAAAAATTGCTGCAACGAAGACTAATAACATCAAACATTGCCTCATATCAAAGATGAACATAACATGAATTGTCATTGTTTTGAAGCTTTATTGATGCTCATTTGATTTTCCAAATGATTATATAGACAAAGATATTCTGTGGTACTGGTATTATAAAGGTGAAGGGCAAAGTTGTATGATTAAATTGCTCTATTAGAAATTTAGTGGATTAGACATTTCCCATAATACATTTGGTTTGTCCAGATATTATTCCCGGCATACACATATCATTGGTATTATAAGTTCTGCCAGAACATTGATATATTTCATGGTGAGATTTCAGTAAATTATTCTAACAATTTTTCAGTTTCAGTCAATGAACAATTTCGAAGTTGTAAACAAGGCGAATGTGGATTGTAGATGCCATGTGGAAATAAGAACTTTCAGAGTGATTTGTTTTATATGTAGTGTGTTTAAAACCCAAAAGATAAGATGTCCATTTGAAAGTGGTTTTGCCTAACCTGCATAAGTAGTGAAGTTTATTGAGTGATGATGTCTTTTTATTTACAACATTTTCGTAAGTGGGTGAAGATGGGAATCTTCAAAATTTCTTCAAACAAATAATTTTTATCATAACTGGTTCCCAGCTGCTAATTAACAAACTGACATCTAACTCTCTATTTATCATACAAAAGAACAACACCTGCTAATTTTATTATAACAGTTTTAGTCATTTTAAATCATGCAAGAAATATCAGGATGTTGGCTTATTAATCGATGGTTTTTGTTGAACGTTGAGCCAATTATTTAGACCA